CTGGGCCGGGTGGCGCTGAGCGCTGCAGGGTACCGCCCGCAGCAGCTTTGTGGGGGCCTTTGGCCCGGGAGGGTCAGTGGTAACGCGGAGCCCGCTGGCTGAGCGCGGGCAGGTGCTCGGCGGCAGCGTGTCACTTGGGGCGTGCTAAGAGAGAACCTCGCGTTTGGAGAGCGACTAGCCTGGGTACCTAGAGTAGGGTCACGGGCCGGGTGGCGCTGAGCGCTGCAGGGTACCGCCCGCAGCAGCTTTGTGGGGGCCTTTGGCCCGGGAGGGTCAGTGGTAACGCGGAGCCCGCTGGCTGAGCGCGGGCAGGTGCTCGGCGGCAGCGTGTCACTTGGGGCGTGCTAAGAGAGAACCTCGCGTTTGGAGAGCGACTAGCCTGGGTACCTAGAGTAGGGTCACAGTAGTGGGGCGATGTGGCTGCTTGGCTAGGAACCCGCCTTGCTCTTAAACAATACTCTTGCTGGCTCTAATGAGAGTGATTTGGGGAGCCCACAGAAGGGCCGGGGTGTGCTCTGTAGATACAATTGTAAAATGAATGTTAAAATCCTTTGTCCATAGTACTAATCCCTTCTTAAAACAACTGAAAGCATGTGTCTGGTTTTGCTCATTGACTGGCCCTCCTCCCACCTTTCATTCAAGTTTGGACCCTGAAGCTATGCTATTTGCCTTCACTTTTTTGCTTCTGGTCTTGACTTCACAATGCTGTAAACACAGGAGCGGGGAACCTTTTTTGGGCCAGGGGCTGCTAACCCATAGAAAAATCAGTTGGGGGGGTGGGGGAGGGCTGCACACAAGTGAGAAGCGAACACCCTCCCCCCCCCCAGACCCTCACTGGTGTGGCCCCTGACTGAGAAGGAGAAAGACACTTCCCATGTTTCCCTCACACACCAGAGCCTAGTGGGGCCTAGGCTAATAGATTTTGTGTGATCCAGTCCCTCAGTAGGTGTGGGCTATCCAATGCTAGGAAGGGAGCCTTGAGCCTGGGGGCCCAGATCCAGGCAAGCCGGGCCTGAGGTTCCCCACCCTTGCTGTAACAGAACAATCAATGCTAATGCTGCATGTCAGATTCTCCAGGTAAAACTTTCAAATCCATGCATGCCTTCTCCTGAAATAAATAGAAGTTGTAACTAAAGTTCTTAATTTTGAATATCCCAGTTTTTGTGGGAGGTTTTATTTTTGTTGTCTTTTTTCAAAACCCAAATATGTAATGCAAATTAGCTTGACAGCACTGTTAAATTTTACTGTTATTGCTAATATGTTTGTTTATAATACACTTACCATTTTGTTTTCTCTCAATCTTTATTCAGTCTCACAATAAAAGTTTGAGAGATGTATTTTTTAAGACTCCGAGAGAGGAGGTTCTCATCCTAGAGTAGTTAAGAAAAACATAATTTTAATTGTTTAGACCTGGCTGATACTAGAAAATTTGAGTTTAACTACGTCAGTTGGGATTAGGACTTGTCTATACTTAAAATGCTACAGCCATAATGCTACTGCCACTGGTAGTGCTTTTGTATATAAACTGTCTACTTCCCAGAGAGCCTGTAGGTAGGCTAATGGGAGAATTATTCTGTCCACCTACCCCTATCTACAGGAGACTTAGTCAGTTTGGTTACCCTACTTAGATGTGGATTTTTCTCATCCTTAAGTGGTAGTTAAGCCAACTAGGGATGTAAAATCCCATTTAATTGGTTAAGTGGTTTGGACAAGGGCTCCCCCCAGCACTGACTCCTGCTCCCCCCTGCTCTTGCTGCCTCTCTCTGATCGAGTGGCATCACTAGTTGACTAGTCTCTTAGGCTGTGTCTAGACTACATCCCTTTTTTGGTAAAGGGATGTAAATTAGGCACATCGATATTGCAAATGAAGCTGGGATTTAAATATCCCATGCTTCATTTGCATAATGGCAGCTGCTACTTTTTTCGAAATAAAAATAATAAAACTTTTTTCAAAAATAAATCCCTTTTTCGAAAGATCCTGTTCTCCTAAAAAAAATAAGGTTTACAAGATCTTTCAAAAAAGGGTTTTATTTTCGAAAGATTCCCATCTAAACTGCCATTTTTTCCAAAAAAGCACCATTTCGAGAAGCAGCAGCCGCCATTATGCAAATGAATATTTAAATCCTGGCTTAATTTGCAATATCGACATGCCTAATTTACATCCCTTTACCGAAAAAGGGATGTAGTCTAGACATACCCTTCCATGCCTAATCTCAAACACTGCTCTGATAAATTAAAATACTGATCAGAATTTTTGTAGCATGGATGTTGCTTTTGCTACATGTTCTTAAACTCAATCTAGACTAGATGTGTGTTCTCGATTTCCGTTAGTGTAGTTTGACTGATGGTAGCAATAGCATCAGTGCCAGTATTAAGGATGTTAAAGAACAGTTATTTGGCTAATCATGTAGAGCAGTCCTGGCTTGCACCACTGCATTTTAAATGTAGTAAGAACCCTTACTACGGGCGGCTCTTATTACACTTAAAATGCAGAGATGCAGCAGTCCCAGACTGGCTCGGGCCAGGTCCAGCACCCTCTGTTTATGGCGTCTGAGGCTGGCCATGGACAGATCTGCTGCTGTGGCGACCTCTGCCTGCAGTCAGTCCGGGCTGCTGTGAACAGGGGCTGCTCAGCAGTGGCAGCAGCCCCTGTCAGCGGGGGGGGTCTTAGCTCGTCCCTCCCCACTGCCTCTTATACAGCTCTGAAACCGGCTCTTCCCAGCACCTTCTCCCCTCCCCCTTGCTGCCTCTTGTACAGCGAGTAGTTGAGTACTCCACCTGACTACGCGATAAGTTTATGCTTATTCTTATGGGATAGTCGAGTAGTCAACTACTCGCTTACATCTTTAGTCAGTGAATCGTTTGTCAATGTTTAACTGTCTTGTTTAAAATGCCACTGACTGCCTGTGCATCATCTATGCTAGAGATTCCAGTGCAATCTCTCAGAAAAGACTAGAATAGGCCTGATATTCCTCAATATAGCTTAAAGCTGGTAGTTTGAACAAAGTTACTGCTATGACTAGTGTCTTTCATTATATACTAGGTATAATTGGAAATCTCTACTTTATTTTTATATTCTGTAAGTTCTTATTAGATGTAAAAGTTGGTATATGCCAAGTACCTCCTTCTGTTTTGATACAAGCAATATCACTTACCTTCATCCTGGATCGACCTATTGCTTTCTAATCAATTATATGTATTCAGTGAAAGTACTCTCTGTAACAATTGTACTAAAATGTGGTAGATCATAACACTTTACAGACGTTAGAAAACACTTCTGTAATAATAATAATCAGGGCTTGACAATTAATATAATCTACTTGCCTGTGGCGAGTAGATTACAAGATGGCACAGCCGTGCAGCACTTGACGAGTCCTGATGATGATAAATAAAAGAGCTGTTGCACACATGTACAATGTCTTTTGCTTTAGCCACATTTTATAAAAATGGGTGCATAATTCAGCCACTGAGGAAGATCCCACCTTAGTTTAAGCTGCTTATTTAGTGCTACAGTTCTAGTGGATGATGTACAAGCAACCATTGTCAGTGACATATGATTATTTAGCAAAAGCCAGCTTGAACAGAATTTACAGTGTGTCCTAAATGGGGCAAGACTGTTACTGAACTCATTTCAAGTGGAGAGCAGGCTCAGCAACTGTCAGCCCTCCTCTCTAACCACCTCTGAATTTGAATCTGGGCTTCAGTAGCTTTTGTGTCATTGTTGAATGTAACATGAAGGGACTTGGGGTGGAGAAGGACTTAGTAGCTGGCCATCTGCCCATATAGGACATAAGTACTGTGAAATGAACCCTGAACTTTCGGATAAGGTATATCATGAGGCAAGCAGCATGTTGTTACTATCACCTCCCTATCTCAGAGGATACCAATTGCTATATTACGAAACAAGATGTTTAATGTTGGGTCATACATGTCTTGCAAAGTGAAAGTTTGCCTTTTAAGTACTTTCTTTATTATTGTTAAGTAAAGTTTGCAAGAGTTACTAATGGGGCATCTCTAAATGAATCTTCAGTGCAGGGGAGAAACCTTTATTTTACAACCCGAATAAATAAATTCATATCTGTGAAAGCCAAAAGCAGTTTCTGAAAACTGCACTATTTAGTCAACTGGTGTTCTCATGAGTGTGCTAAAACAGTGGTTTTCAAACTATGGGTTGTGACCCAGTACTAGATCCTGGAATGTCTGACTCTGGCGTTCATTGCTGAAGGGGATCAGGTGACTGGTTGAAGTGCTAAGGCAGCTACCTGCCTGACCTGGCATCATGGACTACTCAGCAGGCTTGGCTCCTGGGTGGTAGGGGAGGGGGAAGAGAATGCACAGGGCTCCACGCACTGTCCCTGCCCCAGGCACTTGCTTCCCCATGCCCTTTGGTTGGGAACTTGCTGCTGGGCGCTTCTGGGGTGCAGCATAGTCTGCAGTGCCAGGGAAGGCGGGAAGCCTGCCTTAGCACCTCTGCTGACCAGGAGCTACTCAAAGTAAGCCCCTCCTGATCACTCCCTCCAAAACCAGAGCCCTTTCCTACAGCCCAAAGCTCTAATCCTCAGCCCTACCCTGGACTCCATACTCTAG